TTTTTTTTTTTTTTTCTGAACCAGTACTAGCAGATTTTACATTCATTATGTAAAGGTAAAAGGAGAGAAGGGGAAATTAGGTCATATTACATAGTTTAAAGAAGCAAAATTGAGGTCACAGAAGACTTAAATCAGATGTCGTTATAGTTATTTACACAAAGCAGAGAATCATTCTGTACTCACTCCTACCAGTAAAAATAAAGCAAATTATTTTGCTAAAATAATTTTAACTGGTAAACTCTTACATACATCCAGTTACAATCAGAACCTGAAAACGTGACTGCAAAAAATAAAAGCCCAGCTAACTAATCTATTTTTATCCACTTCTGAAACCCAGCCAGTAGCAAATAACTCCCCTCAAAGGCGTAAATTAAGGGTGAATCACATAGACACATTTTAGGAACCGGAACGCATGGAGGCACAGGGTGGCTGGGTTCATAACAATGTTCCACGTACAAAGGAGTAATTTCTTTGGCAAAGCAAATTCTCTGGCCGGTCAAAGCGACCTGCGGGGGCTGATGGTGTGGAGCTGTGGGGAGGTGAGGCCGGGACAGTTCCTTTTCCGCAGCTCGGGGCACGTCTGCGAGCAGAAGCTGGCTCTGAGGGCTGGCCTGGTGGCCCTTCTGCCGGCCCCTGGGGAAGCAGACGGAGGCAGCAGAGGGCTGGGGAAGGTCACAAGGACACAGACACCTACAGATGTGTGACCAGCAGGTCACTGGTCCTGAGCAACCTCCTCTAGTTGACCTTGCTCTAAGCGGGGACGGACTAGACAGTCTGCGGAGCTCCCTTCCAACCTCGACAGGAGTTGAGTCGATTCTGCGACTGAGAGCAGAGGTGGTTCAGAAAACGATCTAGTCGTCCCTTGGCCTCGCCCCCGTTACTCAGGAAAGCTGCAAAGCCGTGGGTTTCACAGAAAAACTCTAGCTAAGCGTTCCACATGGGAGCGTGGTTGTTATTTCTCAGTGAAAGCCTTCAAAATCTGGTGAGGTGACAGCAGAACTGGTCTGCAAGCATCGTAAAGTACTGCTTCTCCAACCAGAACCACCTAATCCCCTCCTCACTGCGCAAAGACACGGCCATTTACAGGGCTCGTGTGAAGCCAGGAGTCCACAGAAAGGCATTAGTTCAGCTCCAGCACAATTCCTGATTGAACACGAACTTTTATGCTGCTGAAAGCAGTGAAGTACCTCTCAGCTCTAGCATTGGCCGCTGTTTCCACGACTCTGGCATCATTTCTCTTCTGGTCTGGAACACAAACTGGCTGTTGATGAATTTCTGGATGCTGGCAATGGTGAAGGGCACTTCTGGGTGAACGATACGGAAATAGTGATCCACGCAGATGCCCATGGTCTGAAGGCCAGGTACAATCTTCTGAATGCTCACCCCAGCTTGCTTCACTCTGAGCTTAGAAAGAAAATACAGGCGATGTGTTACAATTCCAACCTGTCTGAGCAAGGGTTCTGTCTCATTAGTCTACGCGTGTCCTTCGCAGCAAGACAAAGCCCCAGGAAGGAATGTTACTGTCCACCGGTCCATTGTTCAAAACAAAATTATCTGCTATTGTCCTCGCTTGCTTTTGTGTAGCTGCAAGAGAAAATTAGAGATACCAGAGCGTGCCCTGCATTCCAGAAAGAAATTAACTGTGGCATAAAACGTCTTGGCAAATACTAATTTCCTAATGGATGCCATGGGTTACCTTCTCTTCACCAGTGCTCTCTGAAGGCTTAGTCACTCTCTTTTAGTCTGCCTGGCCAGACACCAGCCCTTACCCCCTGCAGAAATGTGCCCCTGCAGAAATGTGCCCCTGCAGAAATGTCCCCCCGCAGAAATGTGCCCCCTGCCTTCACTGCTCCTCACCAGAGTTGTTGAAGCTCTGACCTAGCTACCAGTAATGGGTGCAGGGCTCACCCTTTTCCCACACGAGTAATTGGATCAAAATATGCAGACTGGGTGTCTTGAAAGGTTTAAAGCTCTGACCTGAACCCAGGCTGGCTGGAAACCGGCCATGGGGCAGTTCCGTTGCTGCAGAGGATGTGTGTGCAGGAGAGGAGACTCAATCCTCCCCCAGCAGATAAAGAGATTTTCGGGTCTGGTTCCTACCAGATGGGGTTGCATGCTGCCTGATTTAGTAGGTAGCTGTGTTTTCCCAGCAGAAGCATGTGGGAGTAGACTCAGGAAGCGCGTAGAGCCTCAGCTGCCAGCAGAGCCTTACAAAACCATTATTCTGTGATAAGCCTTTGGACAGATTAGTGACCGGGAGGGGAGGGTGACTCGCTGCCAGCACAAAGCCAGTTTAAAGGATGGGTCGTGTCTCCAGCACATCCACGGACGGGAAAGTGGCCAGAAAGGTCAGAAAATTCTGTGTGGTGTTTGGTAATGGACAGACTGCTGCAATAAGCCTTGCTGGCGTATCTGCAGCTGTTTCGGACACGGTAATCTCAATAAATTCCAAGGAGACTCCTGTCTGAAATGGTCCGGATCCAGCTGGTCACAAGGGATTTTTGTCGCCCGGCTGTGTGCAGAACGCTTCTGCAAATCCTGCACGTACCCAGAAGAACGTCACTCTGTGGTTTATGCAAACGAAAGGCCCTCACCACAGGCTCCTCCTACCTCTTTGTCAAAAACCATGTGGAAAGGAAGGCCATTGCAAAACGTCCTCGTGTCGACCCAGAGGCTCTTGGGATAAACGGGATCGAATCCTCTCAGGAGCTTGCCTGCGGCGTAAAAAAAAAAAGCCATGTGTGTTTTTTAAATGGGGGTGCACCTGGCAAAACCAGCCAGCGTTACCTTTTAGCACTGGCTGGGGACAGAGCAAAAACCATGCGGGTCAGGAACGTGCCCGGGTGGGTACGCAGCCAACCAGCAACTAATGTGAGTTGGCCGAGAGCTTCAAAGTGAACCGGACAAAAAGCTCAGAGCGCCAGATGCAGGAAATTGGGTGGAAACCATAAGAACGGATGAACAACTGTAGATGTCACAGCAACACAACTAAGGAAAAAATCCCAGCGTGATCTGAGTTTCCATCTCCTGAACAAAGAACTCTAGTCCGTAGCACAAAGACCAAATTACCGCTTGGTTTCTATTTTCCTTGCCCTGAGGTTTTTATGTTCAAAATGGTCACAAATCTACAGAGCAGGCTGTGCTTGCTAGCACACAGGTATTTTTTTCTAAAATGAATAAAATGGGTAAAATAGACCAAAGGGCTCATCTGACCGAAGCACCCAAAGCCTTTGATCTTCACAGTATAAACTTGGATTTCCCCAGTAACCTGCAAGAACGGAAAGGATGCCTATCCCAAGCAACCTTCTCCCCCAGAAGTGGCTGTGACAGTCACTCTAGTAAATTCTGCTCAATAAAAAACACTCAAGTCACTTAGGAGAATTGTGAAAAAGACTACAAATTTAGGGCCTGACTTTTACTACTTTTGGGGAAGTCAATGGTTTGGGGTTTTTTATTTTTTCAAAGTCTGGCTGTTGATAACTCTTGCATTGATTGTTAAAAGATTGTAATTTTTTTAAGTAATAATGCTACTCTGAAATTGAATTTTGAATATATATAAATTTCTTACTCAATATTTCTGCTCTTGTAATGCACGTGGCGTCGTGCCAGAGGATACTGGGTTCAATTTTTCACTCCTCCCAGAATCCAGACAGCTTGGCGATACCCGGATTCTCATTCCTCTTTGGGGAATCCAAAGATCCTGACCAAAAAAATCCTTCTGTTTTATAAACCTCCACTATATAAAGGTATAAACAGAGATTAGTAGCTTAGCAGTAGGTTTTTGGTGGTGGAGGGTCTGATTAGGCTTTCAGAATTTACTACAGTCGACAACTTTGGAAAAAGGTAGCAGCTATCGCATTAAAAACCACCCTTTTAAATTCATCATCCTAGACCGACAGGAGAAGGAAGTATCGAAGGTATCATACAAACACATTTTATAGAAGAATCCTTTGCAGAAGAAAACCCTGTTTAAGAGACAAAAATGCCATATTCCATTGAATTCTCTGTCATTACCAAGGATGCTTATTATCTTACTATGATTACCAACGTCTAACTGACAGAAAGTGAACCAGGAATGTTTTGAAGGATGCAGAGGAGAGAGGAATGGTAACTTCCAGGTGGCTGGGTGGGTGCGGGTGGGGAGGTTATGGAATTTCTTACTGGGGGCACTCAGAAACAACGACGGGCTCCCTCCGAGCGATCTCTCACCTTTTCCTAAAGTGATTAATCCTCTGACTGTTTTCCAGTGACTTTTCTTGGCGGGACAAACAGAGCTTCCTCTGTCTCCACTTGTGTTCTTGGCTTTACCAGGGTCCTGTTGAAGTAAATCCGAAAGGAGATTCAAGGATGTTTCTGTTTGAATTGCATTTCAATAATAGAGTGATAATGAGTATTAAAATACCTCCTTATGGAGTTGGCTCTCAATTTGTTTTTCACAGTCAGCGAGGTACCGAGGTGAGGGAGAAAATTCATTTCTTTCCTTGTATGAAAACACAGGGTTTTGAGTGACAAGGAAGACAATATGCTCTTTTTTCCCAGTTCTTTCTTCTTCTTCGGTTTGATTGACTATTTCCATTGAAATCTCGATGTTAAAAAAATCCAGGGCTGCCGCACCAATGATTCCTGAAGGGGAAACAAACGACAAGGTGTTGCCAGGAAGGAACCCTGTCCCTTTCCCGTTTTAGAGGGCCCACAGTGGAATTTCACCGTTTCAGAAATCACCTTTCCAAAGGAGTCTGGAAGAAGGAAGCACCCGATGCCATTCCTACTACTGGTAACACTATGTGCATGGGAGATAAGCTTTACAGTTACTGTTCCTTTTGCCTTGCCTGATGACAAATGCTTACTTTCCCCCCGAAGCAGCTCAGCAGGATATCTGAAGATTGTGTCTAAATAGTCATACTTAGCCATAATAAGAATTCCCATTAACCCCAAAAGTGCAGGGGGTCTGAAGAGATCCTGCTGCAACAACCCCTTTCAGTCGTTGCAGGATATTTTCTTTTGAAAGGAAGGAAACCTCTCTGATGAAGGTGGACAATCAATCCTCGCTTTTCTGCTCAGCCGTTAAGCGAAGGACTGAGCAGTGCCATGAAAAGCTCTGTCTGAAATTCCAAAGAGTTCTCTGCTTCAGCAGAAATCTGAAGTGAGTTCTGAGAAAGGGGGAAGTTTTTGATAAGCTTCTAAACGCAGCCCCATCTATGAAAGAAAGGAGGACAAGCATCTCTTACAGCTGCGTCAGCCTCGCAGGAGCACGACTGTGAAGCTTCCCATAAGTGCTGGTAAGACTCTTGCGAGCAGGGCTCAGTAGTACTACAGATTGCACGTACTGCAGGAGTACTTACTACAGGGTGTCTTTCTACTTCACTGTAATTTCAGGAGCGTGAATCACTGAGAACTAACCAACAGTTAGACGCCGCGAATTTTAACTTTTCTTCTGGGCATTCTCTAGGAGTTCTGTAGCCAAAATGGACACTTATGGCCTGGGTTGTCATATTGTAAATCGTGACAGAAGCTACTGGGAGCTAGGAGGGATTAGGCAGGAGGGAAATACGGAGCTCAGATGGCTGGTGACTAAACTCGACTAGGCTTCAACTCCATGGCCAGTCCTCCTCTGGAAAAGGATTCTGAAATGTGAGCAAAGTGTAGCTGCAAATACACGATTAGTGCCTGTGTACATACGTATGTATATATCTGTGTCTGTCTGTGTTTATATGTGTGTATATATATATATATGTCTATGTATATATGTATATATCGCATTACCAGGTGACCTGTGCTCTGATTACCTGGCACAATGTGGCACAGACCTCTTCTGTCTGAATAGTAATGTAAATGCATTGACCCGTCTTCGTTCTTTTCTACTCTAAAAGACGGTGCATTCATCTCCTGAGGAAAAACAAACAGAAACAAAACCTCGGCATCTTTTCCTGGTGAAGAGTGCTGGTGAGTTATGCTTGTACGAAAGCATCCCGTGACTTAAGGAAGTAAGCAGCAATATGAATAAGCTGAAAACCAGGAAAAGAAACATGCTCACTTGTGAAGGAAATTCTACTATGCATGAGAGCCACTGTACTAAATAATACCTAATGCTGAGGACTACACAGAAAAAAAAAATATTTAAAAAATTGTCCTAACAGTTTGGAGCAATCAGTTCTGGAATGTAGGGGAGCCTGTTCTAGCATCTTTTTCCATCATTCCTTCACACCTGTGAGATGCTGTTCTTTGTGTTGCAGACTCTGGTGGAGACCACCTGCGCCTGCTCAGTAAAAACTACCCAAACTTGCCTGGTAAGAAAGGGACAGGTAACTGTGCAACGCATCCAGGTTCTCTATGAACTCGTAGAGGTTTCCACCCAGTGTCCTCAGCATGTGGTCGTAGCCCGAGCGTTTGCAGAATTCAAAGAAATACTCTCCGAACTCTCTCAGAACTGTGTCAGCGGGAACACCTGGCAAAATCAAGGTGCCTTCATGAACAAGAAAGGCTTGGAAGCTCTTGAAATGCTGCCAGGTGGAAAATGCTGCCCCACAGGGAGGGCACTCCCAGAGAGCAGAGGAGGCAAAACCTGGGCTGCAGTCTCAGGCGTGACCCAGGACGGTGACACCTACCCAGTATTTTGCAGGCTTTGTCGACGAGCTGCATCGTGATCTCATCTTTGTAAACCTCAAAAGTCAAGAAAGAATCCTGGACGCCGGCCTGCAGCCTGCAGCAGAGAAGACAATATTCTCCTCTCAGCCGTACATGTAACACGCTTGGGTGACCCAGCAGGCATTCGACAAGTGCTCTTTGCTGTTAACCCGCTCCTTAACCTCCGTCTCCACAGACCTGACCAAAAACTTGCGGAGTATTGGCTTCAGTGGCTATTACATGTACCTGCCTAAGCATCACTTCTGCAGCTTTCTATCTCGGAAAATACCATATAGCTCAGAAAGTTAAGACAAAACCTGAGGAGATGCTATATTTAGCTGCTTTTCTCAAAGTACAGGAATTGAACTGACTTCATACCAAGCATGACATTTTTCTCGGTGTAATTACTTTTCAATATCGTCACAGTGAGCCAGCGCGTCTGCTGCACAATCGTCTATAAGACTAAATGTCACCTTTAATTATCTGTTGGTGCAAATTAATTGGGACAAATTAGAAGCGTAGTGGGAAGTGTTACAGGATAAGAAACTGTTGCTTTTGCCCTGCTAGTTAGTTTTAATAATTACTTGCGATAACATATCAGCTGCCATTTACCAGTGAGAAATCTGAACCCTCTGCTGCTAAACTCCTGAGCGCTTTCTTTCCATGCACTACATTTACTGGGAACACATTACCTTAATTTTTCCCATGTTTCTTCGCCGTACTTCTCAACCACCAGAGACTTCAGGCACGTATTTATAAATCCATACTGCAAAAGCAAATACACGAACACGGAAAGAAGACAACACTGGTTTTCAACATGCAGCCCAGGCACGCCGCCTTTTCTGTTTTTCACATTCCACCGCTCCTTTTATATTGCGAGAGTAACGACGTTTGACAGCCATTACGCCTTTCAGCGAACAGCACAGCTTTTTGCTTTGCTATTTTTTTTTTGGCCTCAGGCAGAACAGAGCAAACGCGTTCGGTCTGCAGAGGAGGAGGAGGAGGAGGATGGAGACGGCGGGTCAGGGACGCGCCGTGCCCGCAGCCTTGCGCCCGCCGCCATGCCCCGGCAACTTCGCCTTCCCTGGTATTTATTTTTTCACGTTAATACTGAGAAAACTGGAATGATGGTGGAGGGGGGTGGTTAAAATAAATAACGTTAAAAGAATGACCACGGGCAGCACCAGCCTAAGGATGAGGTGGTCCAGGTCGCCCCGAAGCGATGCGGGGCAGCATCCCGGGGAGGGGGACGACCAGCAGGATCTGTCCGTCTGTCCTGGACAGGTGCTGTCCGTCTGTCCCGGACCAGAGATGTCCGTTGGTCCCGGACCAATATCCCTCTGTCCCAGGTA